GCGCTATGCTATGCTATGCTATGTTATGCTGCGCTATGCTATGCTATGATATGCTATGTTATGGTATGCTCTGCTGTGCTGTGCCATGCTATGCTATGCTATGCTTATGATAAATGGGTCTTGCTAAAGGAGCCAATCCTGGGAAACAATTAAAGTAGCTCTACAATAACATCAAAATAACTTAGGGATATTATTGATAACTAACGTGTTTTTAACGGTCCAAGTAAGTAGACGACCCCGCGGGCCAGGCCCGCGAGGCGGAAGGTTACATCGAATTCCCCGCGGTGCTGAACACTGCGAGATCGTTTCGCACGTGATTTCTCCCAGAAGGGCCCCTTCTTCCCAGCACAAGCCCCGCGGGCGGCGAGACCCACGGCGCGCGAATGCATCGACTCACGCGCCCGCCGATTCAAACAGCGCAGGCGCATTACGTATATTCGTATAGATGTCCATCCCTTGGGACTCGCATCGTACATGTTTGATCCGTAACTATTTCTAGGTGTTGTCCCTCTCGTGCTGCTCGAATCCAAAGTGTGTAACGTATATCATTACAGATCGCCCCTCGCCTTGGTGCTCGAATCCTATGTGTTTTGGCACATTTCAGACACGGGGAAAGGATCGTAAAGGAGGGGGCGGCGGACGAGAGAGGCAAGGTGGATGGGGCTGAATCTGCGGCATAGGTGCGAACGGGGAGGGGATGGTAAGAGAAATGGGCGGAGGAAGGAGGGGAATGGGCAAACGCGATCGGGATGAATAAGCGAGGGGGGGGGCGAAGCGGAAGCTGAGGCCGACGAGAGGGGGGAGAGGGTAGGAAGCGGGACGAGGGAGGGAGTGGTGAGGGCGGTGGGCGGAGGGGGACGCAGGAGCCGAGGGGGAGATGACGGGAGGGCGGCACGGTTGGAGGAAGGCCGACGGGAGGAGGCAAGAGGGCGGATGGGGGCAAGGGAAAAAAGAAGCGATGATAAGGATGGGTGGGGTGGGGAAGGGAACGAGGGCGATTATTAGGATGACGACGGAGGGGAATGAGGAACAACGTGGAGGACTGATGATGATGGTGACGATGCTGACGACATGTGCTTTACCATACTTAGTGTGGTAAATCTTCCGCACCAGCGCCTCGAAAACGGCTCGACTAAACCGTCGAGCGACACGAAACTTCATATCACATGTTGCAGCTGCTGACTCACGTCCTCGCTCCCTCATCATCCTGCTGCTCCTCCTCGCCCTCCGTCTCCTTCCTATTCCTCCAACCCCGCCCCTCTGAGCGAGGACGAACACGGGGCGCCTGGCGGCTCTCGGGGGCCGCTGGGCCGCGAGCAGCGGCCTAGGGCGGCGCAGGCTTCATCTGAAGCGCCAGCTTCACCCGCGCCATCAAGGCTGGATGGAGGAGAGCGGCCTCTTTTTTCAGCTTGGTCTCAGCACGGAACGCCAGCAGCTCGGACTGGACGGCGCCCCGCAAGACTTGCAACTCTGTCACCGTCTTGAATTTGTGGGCGAGCACGCCGCTGACCTTGGAGACCTGGGCGTTCAGCACGGCCGCCGCCGCGTTCTCGAGGACGACCGTGGAGGGCTCGGCGCCGCTCAACTCGGCGGCCTCCTTGTACGCGGCGGCGGCCTGGGAACGCCGTAGCGCATGAACCATCGAGGGCGGGGGAGGGAGACCAGGAGCGAGCGAAGACGTCAATGATGAGAGGTGGGTTTGCAGGCGGGCCCCAAGCCCGCCTGACAACCCACCTCTCATTAAACGATGTCCGCACCGCTCCTCACCTCCCCTCCGTGCCCGCGCACGCCAACAACTCCCACCGAAACCTCCTCCACCTCCACATTCCTCAGCCTTGCCGTCCGCGGCCCGCCTGCATGGGTCCTCATCCTCCTCCCGCCTCCCCTGGTGGTGTTGTTTAATTCGCATGGGTGCCTCCAGTCCGTCATCGATGAGTTTCTTGTGCCCGATGGGGTTGATCTTCAAGACGGTGTCGTCGCAGTGGGCCAAGAAGTCGGAGAACGTCGAGCCCTTGAACGTGTCCTGCCACTTCACGATGGGGGCGTTGTCGTCCGCCTGCGGGCCCGAAGCGACCTTGGCCAACTCCACTGATGCCGTGATCACTGCATCCTTCTTGGCGGCCGCGTTGGCGTCCAGGATCCTCGTCAAGCTCGCCGAACTCTCTGCGAGGAACTGCTTCAGCTTGATGGCCGTGTAGTCGTCGCGACCCTGGGTGGCAGTCATCATCTCGTCCACCTCAACAGCCGCCTGCTTGAGCTGCTTGATCTTCGCGTCGAAGCTGCTGAAGGCCAAGATGTTCTCGATGAGGGGCGGTTGCTCGAGCAGCGAGGCGACGCCTTGAAAGTCAACCCACTGCGACATCAACCAGACGACCTTCTGCAAGAGCGGCGCGTAGGCGCACCCGAAGTTGGCCTTGGCCCCGACGACCGCGGCCAGCTTCATGGAGACGCTCAGTAACTTCTCGGCGGCGGCCGCGTCGATGGAACTCACATTCTGCATGGTCACCTCGAAGGCCACGGTCTCGCCCAGGGCGATGGCGCACTCCAACATGGCCTCGGCGTGGTGGTCAGTCAAGTAGTTGGGGTCGACGTGCGCTCCAGTCACGGCGCCCAGCAAAGGGTCAACCTTAGAAGAGACGGCCGCGATGGTGGAGAACTGCGGGTTGCGCACGCACGCCTCCACAACGCCATTGGAGAGGGTGCGCAGCGCCTCGATCTTGGAGCCTTGGTCGAGCTTGACCAGCGCCTCCGCACTCTCCTCCATCCACTGGTGGATCTTCGCGTCGTGCGGGTGCAAGCCGATCGCCTCGGCGAGCACGCGGTTCCACTTCTGCAAGGTGGCCGCTGGGTGCGACCCATCCTTCGTGTACACGCGCTGCTTCTCCAAGCACACGTTCAGCAGTCGCTCCGTGGAGTCCAAAGACCCCAGCCTCAGCGCGGGTTTCATCTCGGAGAGCTCCTTGAACGCATCGGCCAACTGTTCGTACATGGCCTCTCCCTCGGTAAACTCGTTCGCGAACTTGTCGATCTCCACGACGCGGCCGTGATGCTGTCTCAGACCAGGGGCGTGCTCGATGAAATCCCGCATCTGGCTTTCATACCAAGGGTTCATCGCGACTGCAGCCGCCACGACGACCAAGGGCGACCTGGTCGTTTTGCCGAGAGCGGCGTGCAACTTATTGACTGGGTCCTCAGACATCCGAAAGCGAGAACATAACGTGAGCGGCACACGTTGACGGTGTTCCTGCCCCACCCCAAGTTGCTGCCAACACGTTCCGTGCTTGCCCACTTCGACGGCCGAAGGACCACCGAGGGAGGAAAGCACGAACGCAAACTACAACTACCCCAAAACGCACCGCCCTCCTCGAACCATGTTACGCCATGAAACCTGGAGGTAAACATTGTGGGGGGGGCTCATTCCCCCGCCGCCCCCACTACCCCAGCGAAAATTTGGGCAGAACGGCATGGGGATACAAACAATCCCAATGCAGAACAGGAAGCACGCGTCAACCAAACAAATACTTACAACTTGAGTGGGGTATTCAACTTGCCACGCACGTTACCTCCTGGCTTTCGGAACTCACGCGTCCTCCAACGATGGGTCCAATGACGTCGACACCAGCCCCAATACTGCCCTCCACGTGTCGAGGCACTCCGAGATGCACGCGCCAGAGGGGCCGTCCAAACACACCAGGTCCACATCCTCGAACTTGTCGATGCAGATCGTCGTGTAAGTCTTCACCTGGCCCTGGGAGTCCGCGCCCTTGCCGATCATCCCGAGGAGAAGGGTCTCGATGGAGATGTGGACGAGCAGCTTCGTCTTGGAGGCCATCGGAAGGGGGATGTCGGCAAGCCGAGGGCACTCAGGGTCAAACTTGCCATTGACTGAGTTGCTGAAGGGATCCAACGCATCGAACAGAGCCTTCATGTCGCCAAGCTTTTGAAGATCCGCCAATCGAAGGTGAAGCAACTTCTCCATGTTGGGCAAAGGCCATATGACATCCTCCTCCACCATCTTCCGCACGTACAGCTTCAAGTCGCCGGGGAAGCACGTCGGCATGTTCTGTACTTGGAGGCACTGCGCCGTGACGATCGTCTTGATGAAGTTGTTGAGCAACTGCGCCTCCGCCTTCACGGCATCGTCCTCGCTCTGGGTCATCCTCGCGGCCGCCTTCTTGCAAGCGCTGATCGTCCTCCCGTCGACCTGGCCGCTCATCACCATGGCCAAGCTGATCTTCGATTTCCAATGGTCGAGTGCACCCGTGCCTGCAGCGGGGCTGTTGCAACGCACGCATCGAGGGAGGTCCATGGCGGGCGCTCCACGCACGAAGAGGGCGAGATATTGAAGTACTAGGTGTGTCCCTGGAGGGCTCGGGCACCTCGAAGTCGAGGAGGGGCGAGATGACGGCGACGGGAAATGCGAGGAGGACAGGGGGGATGGCGATGGGAAGAGAGACGGAGGGAGGCTGCGCACGCGCTGCCAACTCGCCAGCGAAATCGCATGGCAAACGCACGTTCGCCAAATCGGACATGGCGCAAACGTTTGCCACGCAATCCATTGGCAACCTGGCAGCGCACTCATCGTCTTTCGCCTGCGCATGGACCCACCCCCGCGCGATTGCAACTCCCCCTGCGAGGAGCCCGTGGGGGCCAGCATGCACAGCTCGGAGGCCCCAGCATTGGATTGGGTCTCATCTCCAGCAGCCGAGGCGGTGTCGGAGATCGCCGAGGCGCCGAAGGTCTTGAGCCTCTTCAGCGGGCCACCCACGCGCGATGCTGGCGGCGACGGCGACGGCTGTGCTGGAGAAGACTTGCCCGAGAGGCGCACGGGCGGGCTTGACGATGGGCCAGCCGCACGGCCGACCAACTCCGCGTCCTCGCTCTCGTCGTCAGAAGCGGCGGCAGCGTCCGCGAGCGCAGCGCTGCCATCCGGCATCGCCGCGTCAGCGCCGTCGCCGACTCCTTCGCCCTTGGCCCCCTTGGACTCCAAGAACTCATCCAGCGTCTTCATGAAACCAGCCTTGTCCTTCTCCAGGATGGCGAGCACGCCCGCCTGGTCATGCATCAGGCGCGACTTGCTTGAGCAAATGACCGTGCCTTGGTTCTTCCACAACTGCTTGTCTCTGTCCATGATGTAGTTGTCGCGCCCAACGCCTGTGCGGGATATGATATCCACAGTCCTGTACGGCATGTTCGGATTCACGAACCAATACCCCAGCTCCCAACCATCCTCACCCTCCTTCGGCACCTGTGCGGTGTACAAGCTCTTAGTGCTCTCCTTCGCGAGGCGCCTGGTCTGCAACGCCTTCCTCGAGTCGCTCTCCGTCAAGACGATGTAAGACCTCCTGGACTCGATCGCGTGGTCGGTGCGCTCGAGGACCTCCTGCACGGGGGTCGGCGGCGGCTCCTGCTTGGGGTGCACCTTCCTGGCGGCGGCGATGTCCGCCTTGACCTGTTCGTCATGTTGGTTCGCCTGGCAGAACGCGTCCCACTCCATGTGGGAGAAGCCGTCCTCGTGAATAGAGAAGCACTCCTCGCACTTCGGCCCGACCGCCACCTCCACAAGGCCCTGCGCTTTCCTCGCCATCTTCCTGAGCGCCCACGGCTTGCCGTCCTGCGAGCCGAAGCGAAAGAGGAGGAAAGCAAAAGCGGCGCTCAGCGACAGCTGAGGGCGATCGAGGAGGACGAGGGGGTCGTGGAGGGAAGACGTGTGTTGATGGAAAACCCTCCGAAGAGGGAGCTGGCGTCCTTGGCGAACGCCTTGCAGAGGCCGCACTGGCAGTTGTCGCCGCTAGGCTGCTTCTTGCTGGCCTGCCTCTGCGTCTCTGGGGCAGCGGCCGCGGACGCGCCCGAGCTCGACGGAGGCGGTCGGGCCTTCGGAGGCGGCGGCGTCCTGGACCCCCCAGCACTCGCAGCAGCGTCGGAGGCCCTGCCCGCTGCGCGCGGGGGCGGTGGGCCCATCAGCGCGCCTCCATGCTTCGGCGGAGGCGTCTTCCCCCGATGGGCCATGCCGCCGAGGATGCCGTCTGAAAGTCGGGGAGATGCCGACCCACCGCAGATTGCAGCGAAAACCTCGAGCAAGCCAAAATGGCTACGGATCCCCAGGAGGGCCGACGAGGAAAGCACTGTCCGAAGGGACGCCCTCGCAAACAACAGCGCCAATGGCAAGAAACATGTAAGGGAATCGCACGCGGGCCCGTCCTCGGGCCCGCCGTGGGCCCCATGCGGTGGCCCACCAGTCTGGCCAAGACGATCGCGGCTCACTTTGGGAGCGCTTGCTGCTACACCCCCCCTCACCAAGGCAACTCGGGGAGGAGGAGGGGGAGGAGGAGGAGGAGGAGAAGGACAAGGAGGATGGGGAATGAGGAGGAGGAGGATGAGGAGGAGGAGGAGGGGGGGAGGAGGAGGGGGAGGAGCAGGTGGAGAAGGAGGAGGAGGAGGATCACCATCATCATCATCAGCATCATCAGCATCACCATCATCAGCATCATCATCATCATCATCGGCATCATCACCATCATCAGCATCATCAGCATCATCATCATCATCATAACCATCATCATCATCGTCATCATCATCACCATCTTAATCATCACCCGCATCACCATCACCATTGGCATCATATGTTGCATTGGCAGCGTTGCATCTGGCGCCTTCTGAGACGGCCAGCACGCCCCAAGATAACCCAAGATGGCCCCAATGTGTTTCCGATACGGCCCACGCTGCACCCGAGACAGCCCAAGGCAGCCTCAAGATGACCCAAGACGGCCAGAGACGACCCCAGGGTGCATCCAAAGCGGAAGTGGTTCACTTTTCGATTGCTTATTGCGGCGCTTGCTTCATGAAGGCACCTCGCCTGGCGGATGTTTTGGGATGGGCTGGAAGGGATACGCGAAGCGTGACAAATTGTTTGCGCGGCGTCCAAGAAGGCCCTGGCTCCAATGTTTGCGCGGCGCGCTTCCTCCGCCCCCCCCCCCCCCCCCCCCAAGGCGCGGTGGAACGGCACGCGCCCTGCAACGCACGGTTTCGGGCCCCGTGCACACCCCCAGGAGGTTGCGAGAAAACGACATGCCATCGCCTGGACGGCCCGCCAAAGGCCCCGCGAGGCAGGAGACGTGCCATTGGCACGCTCACCAATACTGGAAAAAAAAAAAAAAAAAAAAAAAAAAAAAAAAAAAAAAAAAAAAAAAAAAAAAAAAAAAAAAAAAAAAAAAAAAAACCTTGTCCTGCAGCCGTCCTGGCTTTTCCGACATCAGCAGTTCTCCCACCTCCCCCCTACCACCCCCATCCCCCCACATTGCATCCCCGTCCGCACCGACAACCTCCCTGCTCACGCGGGTCGCGCCCCTGCGTGCCGCTCGGTGGCCAACGAAAACCCGAAGTAGCTTATCACACAGCCATTTATACATGCATGCAATCGGTGTTCCTACGAATGGTTGTGTTTTAGAACTATACACAACATCACGCGTCTAACATTTGCAAATCATGGGCATACGGATTGTGTGTACGTAAATATAGTAACATAGTTCCGCCACCCAACACAATGACATAGCACCCGCTACACTGTGCCAAGCGTATGGATGGACGAGTGGCCGCAACGAAGAGGAAAACAGAACACGAGAGCGGCGAGATCACAAGCGAAACGTACACATTGTCATATGTCAGCATGCCCCGTCATTCTACCGCACACACATTCTGCCCACGCGGCAAGATGCCAAATCGAATTTCGTAAAACAACGTCGCACCAAGGAGGTGAATCACGATAAAAGTTTGCAGTTTGCGCCCCCCCCCCACTGCCCCCCGACCAGCCCATGCATGGCGCAGTCCGTACATACCTGGGCTAGCCTGTACAAGTTCCACCAACAAGCACAACCATAACCATACACGCACACACATTATGTTGTACCCCCCATGCGCCACCTCAAAGGGCGGACGCGGCGCGTCAGCAACGACACCCAGACACGCAAGACATAACCAGCCAAGCGAGGTTGGCATCATGCACGGGCACGGGGCACGTGCATTCCAGAGAAACGGACCCAGGGGGAGGGGGGGGGGGGGCGATGCGGAATGCAGGGTGCGGTGGGTTGCGCGGCGCGTGCAGTGGCGGGCCGCATGCACCCCACCTGCAACATCCCACAACACATACGCGCGCTAACAACCATCACAACAGTGTAGGCCACCCCACGACCACCCAACATCACAACCGCTCAGGCAATACCCTGCTCAACCGCACCCTCCCCCGCCACACCTCCACCTATAAACTTCCAACATGCAGCCATGCGATGAGCCACTGCCCCGCGCACTCAACCACCACACAATCCAACACTCACTGAGAACGCATCGCGCCTTCAAACGATGAACAACACCCCTGCCCCCCCCCACCCACCCCCGCCGCCCCCACCCACGCCGCCCCTCGCCCAAACCCGCCCCTCCCTCGCCGCCCCCCACCCCCCACCACCCACGCACACGCACACCCACACCCGCCAACCAACCGACAAAGCATTACAAACACCCGCACAACACCCCACCCACACACCCAGACCCCACAACACCACCGCATCCACCCCACCCCATCACCTAAGAGCATTCACCCAACGAGTCCTGGGCGTCCTCTTTTGCGGTGTGTTCGAACTGCGTGTTGATATGCGCGGCACGTGCCATGGCGGCTTGCAAATGGGCAGGTTGCGCGCCCGCAGACGCGACGCTATTCCCCGTCGGAGCCACGCGCCCGCTCCGCCACCCTGCGCGACGGGGGCGCCCCCCGCCCCCATTCTCACCCCTGCCCCCCCAACACAGGGCACCACCGCGCGCGCGCGCACCGCCCCCGGCCCCCTCGCCCCCCCAAAAAAAAAAGACCGCCCCCGGCCCCCTCGCCCCCCCCCCCCCACACCACACCACACCACAACCCTCCAGCAGCCTTCCACCAACCCCACACACGCACGCACGCCCCGCGTTCCACCAGCCCCAACGTCTCCTGCACGCGGGGGGCACAGGCCGCCGCGAACCCTGGAGCTGCGGCCTCGCGAGCGAACGCTTCTGCTCCAGCAGCGCCGCGAAGGCTTCAAACCCAATGCGCGGACACATTGTCATGAGACAAGCGGGCTCCTTGCGGCAAAGTTGTTTGCGGGTGGCGCGGTGGCGCCCTCTCAAACTCGGCGCTTGGCCGCGCCATGTCGCCAGGATGGGCGACCCGGACTGAGGCTGCAAGTTCGAGAGACGCATGTCCACCCGCGGCCCCTGGGCGACATGCTGCAAAGAACGCCCCATGGGTTAAGATTGCTGCTTGCGCCGTCACGCTGCGATCCGCCCCCGAGACGCCCGACGACCGATTGCCGCGGGGTCGCGTCCGTGAAAATCAACGCTGCCTCCGCGTCAGCCTTGAAGCAGACTTGCGCGCCCTGCGCGTTTCGGCGGGGCCCCTGGTGGCGCTGGCCCCCGTCGCCAACGCGCGCACCCCCCCCCCCCCCCCCGAGGCGGCCTCCGAGGACCTCTGGGTCGCTGCGCACCCCGTCGCAAGTATGTCCCAGGCCCCCTGCGCACGCACCATTTGGTGTTCGATGGAAGCGCAGGCAAGCGCGCCTGCGCCGCGGCTGCGAGAACGCAGAGAGGGGCATGGGGCGGGGGCGGGGGTAGAACGGAGGCGAAGGGGAAGAGGATGGAGGGATCGGATAGGAAAGGAGAAGGACAAGCTGATATGGAGGGGGTATGGACATCGCTGACAAGAGGGAAGGGGTAGGGAAGAGGGGGGGGTGAGGGCGGTGGGAGGGGGGGAAGTGAGTAGGGGTGCGGGGGCGGGACGGGGAAGGATACTGAGAGAGAGGGGGGATGTGCGAAGGTGGAGGGGCAGGGAGGGATGGGGGGGCGGTGACATGCGATGGAGGGGATAAGGCGGAGGGGGGGGGGGGGGGAGCAGGTAAGAGGAGGGGAATGATGAGCTTTCGCAACCCACGCCCCACCCCCAAGTATTTCGGGAAGCCCGAAAAGAACGAGGTCGGCAGAAGGGCCCCTAGGCCCACGCAGGAATGTCATCCCAGTCTCCGCCAGGAGCCCCCCCCGCCGACAAGAAACTCGCCACTGCCGCGCGGCCCGCCGCTATGCGCGGCGGGCCTTCTGCGCGCACGCGCGCGGGCGCGGGCCGCGCGACTCGGCGGCCGCGGCCGCGCGGATATCGAACTGATGTTGGCTGGGCCGCCCCTTGCGCGCACAATGGCGTCGTCGCGCGGCCTCCGCAAGCGGGTGCCGCTGCGGCGCCGCGCGCCCGAGCGGGCCCGCGTCGCGATCGCGGTCGAGCATGTGCCCGTCGGAAACGCAGCGCGCCGCGACCCGCGCGAAAAACTCGCCGCGGCGCGAACGCAACTCGCCCTGGCGGCGGTCAACCCCGTCGGAAGACGTCGTCGGGCGTCAGAGAGTGCCCTAGCCAGCTCGGCTAACTTCAGCTCCTGCACCGCGCTCTCCATGGCCGCCTACCCCGCGGACAACTGCGCCTGAATAGCCGATCTACCTCGTCGGGCGACGCAGGCGCGACCGTCGCGCAATGTCCATTGCAGAATGCGACCGACGTTGAATTGCCAATTGAAGCAAACCCCCAACAATTGTTGACGCCTCGCGCATTCCCACCAGCCCACCCAGAAACGATGCCCATGACGGCTGGCGGGCGAGGGGGGGATAAACATATAGCCAAGCAGCGCGGGTAACAATAGTGCGTTGTGTTGGAAGCATCTTGGGGCGCCTGGCGCGCTTATTGGATGCCTCGGTGATGCTCTTGAGGCGTTTTTTTGTGGGTGGGGCACATGTGGGTATTGTGGTGGCATCTTGGACGGCTCTTGGGGCCGTTTGGGCGGCCCTTGGGGCGCCTGGTGGGAACGTTTTACGAATTGGGGTGCTCCTGGGGCCCTCTTGGGGGGCCCTTGGGGCCGCTTGGGGCCTTCTCGGGGGGGGGGGGGGGGGAGGGGGGGGGAGGGGGGGGGGGGGGGCTGAGGGTGGGGGGGGGGGGGGTGGTGGGGGGGGGCTCAGCGAAAGCCTATTGGGGCATAAAAAAAAAAGTTTTTGGGGGGGAGGAGGTGGTGCCACCTTGGGGCCACATTGGCGCCCTCCGCGGCTTCCCAGGCGCCGCTCGGGGCCATATTGGGCGGGCTTCGATCGAAGAGCGGGCCCGCATTTCGACCCCCCTCCCCCCCCCCCTCTGGGGTTCTCCAAATCGCACCCTGGACCGTTATTAGGGCGCTCTTGGGGCGATCGTGGGCGCCCTCGGGTGCCGCGATGGGGCTTTCGTGGGCCCCTCTTGGGGCCCCATTGGGCCATCGCGGACCCATCTCAAAGCCTCGGATGGGCATCGGAAGCGAAAAGGCGAGAAGGCAACACTCATTGGTTTCCCTGAGGTGTTCCGATGATTGCTGGCCTCTTGTAGGCCTCTTCGGCGGGAAGCTACTTGGCCTTTTGGGGCCGTCTTGCGGGGGCTGTGGCGCGATGGAGCATCTACGGAGCCATCTTGATGCATCTTAGGCTATGTCGAGCCATATTGGAGCTCACCTTGGGCTCTCCGAGGCGCTCTCGGAGGCGTATTCGGCTAATTGGACGCCCCGACGACACCGACCCCCCCCCCCCCCCCCCTTCCCCACGTCGAGGCCCATGGGGGTGGGGCGGGCAAGGGGAGGGGCAAACCCACCCCCGAAAGCAGAAGAATTGAATTGCGGTGAAGAGAAACTCCCTAAAGCACCTACGCCCAGAGGGCTGGCGTCACTCCGCGCGCATGTCCGCCTGCAAAGAAGCCAACGGATGCGATCGGCCGCCGACGGCGCGCCCGCGGCAAACAATAGTTCCCACGGGGGGCCCCCCCCACACCCCCCCCCCCCCCCCCCCTGCTCATGCCACCACACCCATCGCGCGTCTCGAGACTTCTTCCCCGCCCCCCACTTCACCCTTCCCCCCCCCACCCCTCCCCCCCCCCTCGAGCGCGCCCTCCACCTTGCCGCTGCCCCCGTTGCCCCCAACCCTTCAGAGCCACCCATGCCACCGCCCCCCCTTCCCGCGCTGCCCCCATCGCCCCCCGCCCCCCAGACGCGACGCCGCGTGCGCCGAAGCGTGGGCGAGCGGATGCGCTGATGTGGATTTATAGTGGAGACGCTCCACGGGCGCCACGTGGACCCGCCGCCGAGATCGTAGCGCGCACCGCGGCCCTCCGATTCGGCCGCGGCAGGGCTTTCATTAGCACGCACACGGGCTTCTTCAAGTGGCGGGCGGGCGCTGCCGCTGCCAGCGGAGAGCAGCAACGCAGCTTGCTTGCGCTCGCGTTGGCTCATGGGGCGATCGCAGACGCATGGGCGGCGCGGCAGTGGCCAGAGCGAGAACGCTAAGGGTCGTTCCTGGATGGAATTGCATTCGGGCCCGCGGCGCGGCTGCCCTTTGAGCAGGGCGGGAGGTTCTTTGGAAAATGGCGCGTTGTTGCGCCCGCGCCGCGGTCGACTGGACCGCTGCGCGACGACGAGGCAACGCATCGAACG